TTGTCTCTCCCTTTACACATCCCCCATTCCGCTCGCAGCCGGAGTTAGACCCACATAATCCCTAAACGTGCTCCAGAACTGGTTCAGAAGGTGCATGTAAAGGGAAGTCTTTTTCATTCTCTGAGATGATTATTGCTAAATTTACGGTCAAGCTGCCTGTTCCCTGAGCCCTGACCCTGAGATGGGGGTTTTCTCTCGGTATGGACCCAGTCTGTGTTGAATGAGCAGAGCTCAGGATGGTTGGCTTGATGCCAAAGTTTAGCGAACAACCCTTGCCCTGTTTGCGGGCTGACATCTTTGTTTCTGGATGTTCTCTGCAAGAATCTGTCCTGTCTGGTCCTTGAAAGTGAGGCCTGGGACGTGCCTGCCCTCTGCATTTTGAGGCAAGTCCAATAATTCATGGCTTGTGTTCGCACAAGCATTCGAACACGGATGGCAAAGACCTTCATGAGACAACGGAGTCGTTGTGTCTTTTTTGTGACACTCTTCTGGTACCGTTGTTCCTCCTTTATTAGTGGTAGTTCATAGAGAGATTCGGGAGGTTTCTAAACATGCTAGGTCTGGCGCAGAGGCAAACTTCAGGGACCCTCCCATCCGAGCGCCGCGATGTGTGTGAACAAAGGAGAGGACTGTTCTCCAGATACACAGGGTTTGGGCTGAAGTGTCTGACAAAGGAACATGAAGAACCGGAACGAGATGGGGTTTTTTTAATTAGGTCTTTAAATCCTAGAAGACACTGAAAATGCCACTCGTTTCTGACAATCTGGTGCTCTCTTTTCCTTTTCCAGAAGCTACGGTGTTGCCTCCACTACCCCCCAGGCTGCAGAACAGCCTTTTCACATAGCGAGGTGGTGGTCCCCACTCCAACACCTTCCTGTTGGACTGGGTGCCTCAGCAAAGCCCGGGGGTGGGGGGTGCGGAGTGGGGCAGGTTGGTTAGCCGCTGAGTGAAGCCACTTAACAAAATTGTTTACAGGCCCGGGAGTTCAGTTAGTTTGATGCGATAAATCCCCGCTTTGTGGCATCTATTACCCAGGAGGTTTTCGTCCTTCTGGAAGGAGGACAAACTCTTCCCAGCCATTAAGGTTCCACACAGTTATTTAATACGCTTGTGGGAACTGCTTTATCATTTTAAATCATAGATCAGCAAACACTTTCCGTAAAAGGCAAGATAATAAACGTTCTCAGCTCTGCAGGCCATATGGTCTCTGTCAGAGCTACTGAACTCTGCCCCCACGGCCCAAAAGCCACCCTAGATAATATGTAAACAAAATGAGATGGATTGTGTTCCAATAAAACTTTATTTATGGACACTGAAATTGGAGCTTCGTCTAATCGTCCCAAATGACTAATTAATGGTCTTTGTTTTTCAGGTTTTTTCAATTTTTTTTTTCCAACCCTTTAAAAATGTAAAAACCTTTATTGGCTCACATGTCAGATGAAGACAGGCAGTGGGCCCCCAGTTTGGCCCCAGGGGGGCCTAGATTTCCAGTGCACACTTGAAGCCAATAATTGACTAATAAAATAGAAATACCAACATAGATATCATCTTCCCTCTCTCAGTTAATCTTTAGCAAGCACGCAAGATGTCAGCCATCCCTGTGGCGATTAGTCATTTGGGACACATTTGGGAATGAAGGTCAGCATAGAATTGTTCTAGTCAGTGCAACCGGAAACCGCCTGTCTTTTCTCCCTCGCAGTGACCCAGGTACTCACAAAGACCCATCCTCTACCAGAGAGGAGGGATAAGTAACTGGTGTGGCTCTGGGGCTCCTTGTAATATTATGCCTAAAGGTACTTCCTAGACAGAAGTAAAATGAAGTATGGACTTCATGTTCATTCTTGCCTCTCGTTTTCCTCCTCAATCCTTTCTCCTTCCTCCCATCTTTCCTTTCTGTCTTTTGAAGTCATGATTTACTATTCAGATGGGTTCTAGACCCTTCCTACCCCAAGTGTGGTGCTCTACTGACAGTACCGCTGGAAACTGGTTAGGAATGTGGTCTTTGGCCCTGCTCCAAACCTACCAGTGGGAATCTGCATTTTAATGAGGTCTCGGGGTGCCTGGGTGGCTCAGTGGGTTAAAGCCTCAGGTCGTGATCTCAGGGTCCTGGGATCGAGCCCCGCATCAGGCTCTCTGCTCAGCGGGGAGCCTGCTTCCCCCTCTCTCTCTGCTTGCCTCTCTGCCTGCTTGTGATCTCTCTCTCTGTCAAATAAATAATGAGGTCTCTGGGAGTCCTTATAATATCCTCATCATCCCAGAGTAAAAAGAGCTCAGTTCAAAGCCCAGGCTTAAATCCGGTAGGGGAGTAGAGAGTTGACTGATAAAGAGATTATTCAAAGCTGACAAGAAAAACCGAGGATAGTAGTCAACCCTTAAAATGGGCAAGTGATGGGGCGCCTGGCTGTCTCAGGCATGGACCCTGTGGCTCTTGATCTCACTCAAAGTGGTGAGTTCGAGTCCCACCTTGTACACAGAGCTTACCTTAAAAAAAAAAAAAAAAAAAAGAAAGAAAGAAAGAAAAGGGAGGGGGCGTGAGTGATGGCCCTGTTTTGATGAAAATCAAAGGCTTTTTCACAGTGGCAGCCTTCAAAGTGGAAACGAATTATCCGAGACCACAGCATGATCATTGGGGGTTGACAGTACAGAGTCTCAGCACAACACTCCAGGATGAAGGGAGAAGGAGAAATGATACACACACTCTCCATGGCTGGGCGTAGGGCGCCTGCAGAAATCAGAGAAAGGTAAGCAGGGCAGAGCAATTCCCGTGTGCTCCAGAATATGAGAAATGGCAGTGATGTGCTGGTAAACATTTAATAACCAGCTCCAGGGCTGGGGGTGGGGGGAGAAAGCCCTGATTGTTACCTGTTATCAATTTTCATGGCGGCCATATTGCCACTTTGGCTGTGACGTCACTGGGGGCGGAGTTAGAGATCCACAGCAGCACACCATGCAGACGCAGGAAACGCGTGCAAGCTCGAAAGGTAACAACAGTAAATCGTAGTAAAATAATTAGGAACTGATGAGTTGTATTTATGACCTTGATTTTAATATAACTAATGTAATCGTAATGTATAGAACTTGATTTTTAATGACGACTGTGTTTAGCAGTTAGGTCCAAATATTCCTGACGATCAGCCCTCCTGAGGCAATACAAGCAGGCTCTAGAAAAAGAGCATTTTAGAAAATTAGAAAAAGGACATTTTCACAACTTTGGAAGTTACAGGATGCTTCCCGACATGTCCGAACAACACATCTGGCTTCCACCCCCTTGATTCATACTCATGTCCTAGCAAATCTCTGTTCACAGATTGCAAGGAAAAGGAAGGGAAGAGAAGGGGAGGGGGGAGGGGAGGGAAAAAAGAGAAGGGGAAAGGAGGGAAGGGGAAAGGAAGGGAAAGGGGAAGGGAAGGGGAAAGGGGAAGGGAAGGGAAGGGAAAGGAAAGAAAATAGGGAAAGAAAAGAGGGAAAGGGAACGGACGGGAAGGAAACCCCTCTCACTGTTCATCCTGCACACTTTCATTAACCTTTCTCAAGAACATTTCATTGGTGTCTGTTGTGTCAGATTATTTTAGTCAAGAATTTTTCAGTTCCCAGTTGGACTATTTCATGGGACTTATTACAACTACAAGTTAATACTTTCAGATATGTTCCCCAAACACCATCTGAGCCTTGTTCCAACTTCATTCACAAATCCTTCAAGCTCCTTGCTCAATAACGATAATGCTTGGACTTGAGTTTTATCCCTTTTCCTCTCTCCTCAATTTTAGTGAAATGAAAACTGACAGGTAACACCATCTAAGCAGTAAGGAGAGGCAGTGGAATGAACTTAAATGCTATAATGTAAATGATCAGCTTCTTCTAACAGAGCTGACCAGTAATTTCCCCGCAAGGATTCAGAATTTTCACATTTCCAAGAATCCTTAGGAGAATCTTCCTGGTGGTGTGGATTCACGGACCCACTGAGTCAGGCCACGCTGTTCTTCATTCCAGATCCCACATTAACTAGCCTCCCCACCGCAGTGTGAATCTGTCAACCTCTCCCATCCCAGGTTTACAGCCTGTAAAACAAGGGGTTGGTAAACGGTGTCTACGATCCCTTTCAGCTTTTTGTTTTTAATTCTTGAAAGTAAAAATTAATTAAAATTAGGACACACACCCCCCCCCCCAAAAAAAAAGTAAAGAAAAGAAATCTAGCAAAGAACTTGTTGCTTAGCTGGGTGATCTTCCTGGTCTCCCCTTTTTAGTGGACAACACCATTTTACTTAATTCTCTGAAAGCACCATGCCTCGCCGGGCACTCTCCTTACCACGTAACAGCTCATAAAACGCAGTCTCCATAAAAATGATTTGCATGACCCATTTCTCGGCTGCTGAGCTGTTCTGATCCTAATGCCTGGTTTTCTTCATGGTGTGCGTTTCTGTCTGCGTGACCGTCCTCCCCAGCTCTGCCTGGGACCCCGCCGTCGGGGGCTGTCGGGCTGTCTGCACTGCCCGCCCGGCGGCTCGGGAGCTGCTCCTGCGGCCGGACTCCGCCGCGACCTTGCGCGCGGTCCCCAGCGTCCCGGCCGGGAGAGGCTCCCACGGGGCCTCAGAAAGGAACAAATCGGAGGTCCCCGCAGGATGCCTTCACCCAGGGTATTTGAAAAACGAACTCATCCAGGCAGCAGGCTCCTCCCACCCCTCCCGTCCCTCTGCAGAGGGTTGCGATTTGCACTGTCTCTGTGGTTTAGACGCCTCGGATCTTGTTTCCAGTTACAAACATCCCACGGCCGCCCAGGTCCCAGGTCCGCGTGATGCGGTTTATTGTGGCAACAGTTCCCGGCAACTGCCCGGCTGCCGAGCGCCTCCAGCCCCGGCTCTCGGTGTGCAGGGGCGGGGGTGCAGGGCGAAGGGCGCAGGGGTGGGGTGCGGGGCGCTGGGGTGGGACGCAGGGGCGCAGCAGGGAGCACCCCTCGGGGCGCACTGCAGGTCCGGGCGGAGGGGAAGCGCGCGGCGCACGGCATGGGCTGCGGACCTTCCCAGACTGCTGAGGACCAGAGACGCGTGCCCGCGCCCAGGAAGGGCTGGGAAGAGGGATTTAAGGTAAAACAAGCAAACCCAACAACAAGCGGGCACAAAGCCCTTTGCCACGCCTGGGGGCGAGGGGCGACTGGAGTAGGCTGGGGCTGGGTCCGCCGGGGGCTCGCAGCCCTCCCGGGTGGGAGCCGCTGTGTTCGCCGTGTTCACCTGCTGTCTTATCCAGGTCTCATCCTGCCTCAGGACTAGCTTTGAGAGCCTTTTGTGGTTCAAGAACTTGAGATGGTGATCACCCCCCAGGGCAGAGGCCGGAGTAGAAGGTAGAGCTGTGCGTTCTGCCCAGAGCTGGGGTTGCTGGGGACTCTCAGGGGAGGGTTGGGGTGCGGGGGAGCTGCCCTACTTTATTGGCTTCTGGAAAGTGGGCCTTTGAGAATTACTTAGAGCTCAAAGAGATCCTGGAGGCCTTCTCTCTGGCTGAGCCCTCCCGCTTACCTAACCCTGAGGACCCTGAGGCTGCACAGCTTGGTTGGGGGCAGAGCTGGAGATAGACTCTGATTTTCAAGAGTCTCATTCCAGTACTCTCTGCACGCTCTCTCTCCTTCTCAAGGTTGCAAACCCCATAATTCTTCTGGAGACATGAAGGGGATTTTTTCCCAGGGTGCGGCATGGAGGGATGAGGTCCAGGATTTCTTCCCATCCTCACCGCCGGCCGTATTGCACCAATGAAAGTGGGAACCCGCAGAGCTATACCTTGGAGGGGGGTCACCCAAAGATAATATTACCATATACTCTATCATCAAAAGCAGGACACTTTTAAGAGTGAAAAGGAACACTATTAACAAATTTGCCATGTCCTATTGGAGCCCATACAGTCTGCAGGAAACCAGGACTTAGGGTCACGCCTGCAAAAGGGCATTTTTGGAGCAGCTGTCTAAAGTGCACACCTGTTTTCTAGCAGACAATGTGCAAGATGCCATTTGGTGCCTCTCGCAGCAGGTACTGTGTGTGGTACACAGGCCAGGCTCTTGGGGCACATAATTAGACAAACCAGAGACTCGGGCTTAGGACCTGGTGCCCACCCATCCTGACACAGTTTCTATTCCTTGACACTGTTCCTTTCTACCCCAGCTGTCTCTGTCTGAGTTTAGGGCCCTCTTACCTCTTATGGGCTCTTCCTGCCTCTCCCATTGGCATCCTCCCTACCCCATCTGCCTCCCACCCACACTGCTACCTCTATTTCTAAGGAAAAATTCCCCAGAGTGTGCAAAACCCCCTACACATGGTCCCACTGGTCTTTCTAACATCATCTTGTCTAGTCCCACACACTCGTGGACTCCCGGGTGTGCCGCAGGAACCTGCAGTGCTCCCTTCCTCCACTCATCAACACCGTCCATGCTGTTCCCCATGCCATTCCCCTTTCCTGGAATGCCCTTCCCAAGCTCCCATTTCCAGTTCACCTGAGGAATTCCTACTTACCTTCAGCACCGGGCCCAAACACTACTGCTGTGACACTCCTCACGTGGTAAGTGTTTATTTAAAGCTCCTTCTGCCTCATAGATTACGTGCTCACACCCTCTCTCAAAAAAATAAATACAATCTTTAAAAAATAAACTATATTAACATGATTTAAAATATTAACCCATTGTGCTTTTATCTTTCTTGTATGAAAAATATTTTTTTTTTACTCTACTGGCATGATTACGAATAAGACTTCCATAGAAGGAAATTTCCACTCTCTGTGTTTCTTATCTGGCCATTACCCTTTGTTTCATTTTGTGGTTATTACTGAAAATGATTTTGTTGAGCAGGGGGAGGATAGAGCAGGTGGAAGTGAAAAAAAAAGCAATCCTTTCTGCATGTGAGATACACCGGGTTCTTCCAAGCCAAGCTTTCTCAGGCTTGGGAGGGTTTCTGTATTTCTCCCTGAATTCCCTGGGTATGAAAGTCATTGCGTCTCCACTGGATTTTTGTTCGGTTCTCCCAACTGGTTTCCCTGGGTCCTCCCTGCCCACCCCCACCTTCCTTCCAGTTCTCCCTCTTCATGACCTCCGGGGCAATCCTTCTAAAGCAAAACCTGATTATGTCGTCCTCTGGGGACAAAACAGTGACCAAGCCATCAGGTAGGCACACAAGTCAGTGGTCAAGAATGTCACCACCTCGGGTTGATTTCTGGGTTCACTGTGTGTTAGCGGTGTGACTTTGGTCAAGTTATTGAGCATCTCTGTGCTTGAGTATCCTTCTCTGCAACATGAGGGTACTACTGATACTAGTTATTTCATAGAGTTATTGACGAAGGTGAAATTCATGTGAAATGATCCTACCAACGCCTGGCACGGACTAAGTGCTTAATAGGAAGTAGTACAATTGTTGTTATCATGAGATGATTTATGGGAGATAAATTCCCAAATCCTTAGCACGTCTTACCAGCCATCCTTGAGCTGCCTCGGGTCACGTTCTCCAGCTTCGTCTCCTCCCACACTCGGTCATGGTCAAACCTCGCTCCTCGTTGCTCCCCAAACTCCTTCTGTCTCTATCTCCATGCTTTTGCGCCTGCTGTTTATCCTGCTGTTTATCCTCCCTTCAAACCTTTCCTCTCCTCCTTGTTGGGCCACATAGCAAATATGTACCCATTTTTCACGACAACGTAAGACCCCTCTTCCTGCCCCTGCCCCTCCCCGCTACTGCCACCATGCTGGCAGAGTTGACCTTAGACCTTCTCCTACCATGTTTCAAAACATCTTACTGCATTTATTCATGTTCACGTTTGCCTCCATCCTGAGTTACTACCTTCTTTGTCTTTGCATCTCATGTGCTCACTACAGCGCCCGATGCAGACAAGCACTAACGAACTTTTCTTGAGTGACTTCCATGTCCCTCCTGGCTCCTCCAACTCCTTGGTATCTTCTTGTGTCCTAGTCGCATAACTAGGACTAACGACAGTCAGCAGGGAAGAAGTTCAGTATTAAAATAGCCGGAAAATTGACTCAGAGTCGACTCACGCCTGTACCTCCTTCCCCCCCGCCACCCAAGTACTTGACTTTGGAAATCTGATCCAGCAAAGGTGTGATTATTAATTAAACACTCTCTAGCTATCGGAGCAGTGCTGCTTTTGCTAGCTTCCTAAATGCATGAGCTGAGGGTTCTGTAGTTCAGCGGTGTCCTTAAAATAAGATGAACGTGTTTGCTTGCATGAAATTTTTATGTTTCTTAATGGCACAACTTGAAAATATTCTGAATTGAACTTCCCAAGACCTGCCTACTGGCTTTCTCCTCATTTTTACCTTAGTCTAAAGGGGTAAAAAGATATGATAATAAAATAATGCTTGATAAGAAAAGCATGCGAAACTTTTCTCAGTTGGAGAAACATTCTTCTGTATAATGAACTCCAAGTTTCTGGCTTATTATGAAAAGGAACAGATTAGATTGGAATAGACAATCTCTATAGACCCTTCACAGTTTTTCCCTAGGCTTTGACCAGAAAAGTCTTGTTTATCATCAGAATAAAAGGGATCAAGTGGCTTCTTCCACTTCAGATTCCTTTTTTTTTAAAGATTATTTATTTATTTATTTGCAGACAGAGATCACAAGTAAGCAGAGAGGCAGGCAGAGAGAGAGGAGGAAGCAGGCTCCCGGCTGAGCAGAGAGCCCGATGCGGGGCTCGATCCCAGGACCCTGGGATCATGACCTGAGCTGAAGGCAGAGGCTTTAACCCACTGAGCCACCCAGACACCCCACCACTGCAGATTCTTAAAAGATCCCAGAACCCTGGGATCATGACCTGAGCCGAAGGCAGAGGCTTTAACCCACTGAGCCACCCAGGCGCCCCACCACTGCAGATTCTTAAAAGATTCTTAAAAGAAAAGATTCAAAAACCACTGAGTGGTTTTTGGTGGGTTGCTTTTTGTTTTTCTATTCATTAGATGTAAACTAGAAAAATCAAATTTTGAAGAATGCATTTTCCCTATATGTCTGCAAGACAAATATATTTATAAAATGCATCTGCCAATCACATGATTTAAGGTTTCAGCTCAGGGGAGACTTGACAAGTGACTCCTTCCAAAATGTTTGACAGATGCATTTCCCAAAAGCTTTAGAACACAACCTACAGTACCTCCAGACCCAAAACAAACAAAACACAAAAACCAACTCTGTCTGTAGTTAAAAGTGATATCCTTTTTGGAATACTGATGATTCTCATGCATCCCGTTAGCTTAGAATTCTCGGCTTTTCAATTCTATCTATAATGATAAGATTTTATCCCTAGGACAATGCAGTATAAAATAGAATTGATACAAAATATAGAAACGTATTGATTCCGTACTTCTACCACAACTTCATCTCAAGGAAAGGATAAAACCTTCCACCCACCTCCCCACCCCCTCCCCAGTACCACGGCAGATAGCCTTCTCATTGGTGTGAAAATATAAACCTTGCATGCATTATAAAGAACAAGAAATCTGTTTCGCCATATCCCCGAGGGGCATAGACAGAATTAATTTGTAAATATCATTGGTCTTTGAACTCTGTCTATTCTCAAGTCTAGATTATGAAATTGGGTTAGAATTTCCAGAATGTGTTGCATATAGATAAGATATTTGAAAGGCAGTCCCAGCTTTCTGAAGAGATAAACCTTACATTTCTGCCCCGGAAACTGAAGGCTGGTGTATGTTATTTTATGTCAAAAGATTGTGTTTCTTCTATTACCATTTAAGCTTTGGTTACTAACAGAGCTTAAAGGCAGACTGGAAGTAAGCATAAATGGATGAAGATCCTTGCTAAGGTCTGGGTTCGTGGCTTTGATGAAGCCATTGGGAGATCATGAGGGGTTAAATATACTTAAATATACTTAAATATACTCTGATTTGTCGACAGCAAAATATCTTTGTGAAAAGCCACCTCCGAGACTGAGAAATTCAAATTTGCTCTCAGCCCCAATATGGGCATTTTGTTTGTTGTGTTTAAATTTGTCAGGGTCTCTGATGGGAAATGTTCGACGGCAGAATTCATCCCAGTGTTTCACTCGGTGCCTTCCTAGCTTCAAAAAATGGAAGGGTCTGAAAAACAACACAAAGTTGTAAAATCACCTGTCTTACCATCACTGCAGATAATTGGTTTTTCATAGTTTATTTGGAAAGAGGGACAAGAATACCTAACACGATCTTTGCTTTACCTTCAGCATGAATTGTGAGCCCCTGAAAAAGCATCAGATTCTCCTTTTCCTTTGTTATATGTAACAATATGTGTTTTTATATATGTGGGAAATATGGGTGCATAAATGTGTGTGTGTGCATGTGAGAGAGAGAGACCCTGTCTGATATCATAAGATTATTATTATATGATAAAATAACAGTATGTCCTATCTATAAACACTTTTCCTGGGTCAGCTTACTGTACAGGGACTGCACAGCAGTAACTGTGTCTGTGCAGAAAGACAAATGGAGAGAGAAAGAATAAGCATATAGTTGCTCTCGTGCTTTCTCTGTCTGCCATTTGTATTTTAGATCGATTGACTTTTTGTTCGCTTACTCTTTTGTTTATTCGGTTGGTCGCTTTTTCATACTTTCCGGTGTTGTCTTGAAGCACAGAACTAATTAACTCTCAGCACGATGAAGTGATGTTGATTTAGCTGGAGTCATCATACTATGCTAGGATGGGGATGAGAAGCTATGTGAGTCTCCCTATGAACATAGAAGAATCCCTAATTGAATGACAAGAACCTGGGGCAGGTTGGAGCTGCCGTGACCTATCAACTGTGATTTCTACTTAGCCTCTGAGGGATTTCAAAGCACTTTGGAGAGCTTCCAGAAAGTGAACAAATGTGCTTAAGTTTTTTTTTTTTATTTGTATGATTTTTATTGTGAGAGTACCAAGAGTTTCATGCTGATGTCCTATTTTTCTAAATTAAATTTTCCCAAAGGAAATGCTTTCTCTTGAGTCCCTGAAGTTGTAACTTTGAACCAGAGAGACCTCCCTCTTTTAAATGGAAGTTCTGAGAAGTGTGCTGTCTTCCTTTCTAATGTTTCTGGGCCCATCTCTTTCCCCCAGGTTCATCGCCACTGTCCTAGTTCATGTTCAATCAGATCTCACTTGGGCAACCGTGATCATGTTCACCGACCGCCCTGCTCTGTCCCTTCCTTGCTTCCTTCGACTCCTCCAGTTTGCACTAACCCCAGTGACTTTTCTAAAAACACACTCCTCATCATTTTATTTTACTTCCATGTACAGAAATCCTATGAAGGATTCCTGGTCGCATTTAAAATAAAATCCCTTTCCCACCTCAACACCTACCCCTCTCTACCTCCACCTGTTTCTGCGTCCCTGAAAAAATTCAAGTTCATACGCTCACAGTGTTGTTTCATACCCCTTCTTCGTGTGTGCTTTGTCTCTGTCTAGAGTGACCTTTTCTTCTTGCCCACTGAAAGCTCATTAATCAAGACCCAATTCAAGAATCTTCTCTTCTTCAACATCTTCTGCTGCCCCAGCAAAATACAACATGGTACAAGTGTAGCAGGGCATTGCTGGAAATAGTGGGGTTTAGAGGTAGGATCCTGGGGACCTCTGAATACTCAGGGGAGAAGAAGAGCACCCCGTGGGCCAACAATGTGAAATCAATAGACATGAGAAGAAGACCCAGAGGACAATACTCAGAGAAGATGCTTATGTTCTTAGGTCTTCTGGGGACACCGAGGAGGCTTCCTCTGGTATGTGTGTCTTAGATGCAGAAGAGGTTGGCCAGTCAACCCAAGCAAGGAAAGAAGAGCCAGTGCTGAGAGGGAGGGGGCAGAGGAGTTTAGAAGGGATTGGAGAAAAAGTCTTCCTGAACAGACCGATATAAGAACACATTGCCTCTCCAAATAAATGACAGTTCTTTAAATTGAATTAATTTACCTTTTAGAAAAACTCACTACATTTTTTTTCTTACTTTTCTTCTTTCTCTGTGGGACTAAGATTTGACATAGACCGGCATTTTGGAGTCACTGGTTTATTAAATCACATATGGGCCCCTTTTTACCGTGTCTTGACCTATTTGTAAGTGATGGAATTGTAGTATGGAGAAATCGATATTCTTAAAAGGAAAAGGTGAAGTTGTAAGCCAGTGCAGGATTTATGGACGACACTCTGGAGACCCATATTCATAAAAAATGTGTACATCTTTGGACCCAGCATGTCCACATCTAGGGACGTGTTCTCTTGGAGTGATTGGGTGAGTTCACACTAATGTCTATGCACAGATATATGCCGGCACTGTTCCTTATATTGAAAACATATATAGAATCACATATATAAACATATGTAGAAACACCTAGATGGCCATTGGTAGAAATTGACTAAACAAGTTGTGACATATTACATAAAAGACCACACTCTGGTCATCAACTAAACGACCGCTCCCCAACATTAAGTAGAATAAGGTAAATCGAAAAAGAAAAAAATAGAATGAGGTAAATCTGTAATCTGTATACACTGACCTACATACACTGATATATAGTATATACACTGGGTACACTAATGTCTCTGATACATTGTTAATGAAAAAAACAGGTTACAGAAATATAATACAATATTATTTAATGTATAACCTAATTTATTTTATTCACAAGTAGCTTTATTAAAATACAATCCACATGTCATACAACTTGCCCATTTAAAATGCACAATCCATAGTCATCACCACAATCTAATTTTAGCGCATTTTTATACTCCCCACAAAAGAAACCACTATCCATTAGAGGCCAGTCTCCACGTCCTAAGCAACCACAAAATCTCTACTCCATTTCTATTAATTTGCCTACTCTGAATGTTCGGTAAGTGGACCATTCTTTGCGTCTGGCTTCCTTCAGTCAGCATAACGTTTCAAATGTCACCTACATAGCAGTGTACTTGAAGACTTTATTTCTTTTTATTGCTCTATAGTATTCTTTGGTCTGGATGGACCACATTTTATTTATCCATTCATCAGTTGATGGATATTTGGGTTGTTTTTACTTTTTTAGATATTACGAATATGAATTTTGAACATTAGTGTGCAAGGTTTTGTGCGGATATATGTTTTCATTTTGCTTGGGTATATATACCTAGAAGAGGAATTTTTGGATCAAATGCTAACTCTGTTTGGCTTTTTTTTTTTTTTAAGATTTTATTTATTTGAGAGAGAGAGATACCTCGTGCACAAGCAGGGGAAGGGGCAGAGGGAGAGGGAGAGAAGCAGGCTCCCTGCTGAGTAGGGAGCACAATGTGGAATCATGAACTGAGCTGAAGGGAGATGCTGAAACACCTGAGCCCCCCAGGGACCCCCTGTTTGAGTTTTTGAGAAACCCTCAAACCTTTTTCCAAAGTGGCTGCACCATTTACATTTCCAGGGCACTGTACAAAATCTCCAAATTTCCCCACATCCCTGCTCACACTTATCATGGGGTTTTTTCCTTATAAGTCATCCTGGTGGATGGGCGGTGGTATCTCCTTCTGGTCTGGATTTGCATCTCCTTAATGACTAATGATACTGAACATCTTTTCATGTGCTAATTAGCCAATTCCAATTTGCCTTTAAAGATCCTATTTCTTTCAGCAAACACATCTGTGAAGTTACATACTGAGATGTTAATAGTGCTTTTGTCTAGGGATTGGTGCTTACTTTCTACTGTGTTTCTGTATCATTCAAGTTCTACCAAAAGAACTGAACCAGGATTATGGCTGGCTGGTTGGCTGGCTGGTGAGATAGATAGATGATAGATAGATTACAAGGAATTGGCTTATGCAATTGGGGTCTGGCTAGGTTAGTCCAAAATCCACACAATGGCATAAGTGGTCAGAAAGGACAGGTTGGGGTTGAAAGTGCAGTCCGCAGAATGAACTCCTCCTTCCTCAGGAAAACCTCAGTTCTACTCTTAAGGCCTTCAACTGATTGGATGAGGCCCACCCAGATTATCAAGGATACCCTCTTTTATGTACTGATTGGAGGCATTAACTACATTTACCAAACACCTTCACAACAATGCCTAGGTTCTGTTTGATGGAATAACCATGCTATAGACTAGCTTAGTTAACTCATAAAACCGATCATCACCAATTTCCTACTGTATTATTTATTTTTACAATAAGTCTGTATTACATTTTTAATCAGCAAAAACAATAAAGATACTTTCATTTTTAAAAAAAAGACTTTTTTACACTGCAGTATCTTTACTTTTCACACTTGATGGATGTGTTCATCTTGGCGTCGTGCGGGTGCCCAGCGTGGTAGCGTGTCCCTGACAGATTGCTAGCAGATACTGTACCCATTTCTATCACTGCTGTGACAAATTATCATACACTTGGTGACTCGCTACAGCACAATTTCACTCTCTTCCCATTCTGGAGGTCTGAAGCCCAAAATCAGTTCCACGGGGCTCAAGTCAACGGATTGGCGGGGCTGGTTCCTTTCAGGGACTGCAGGAAAGAATCCTCTTCCTTGTGTGTCCCGGCTTCTAGAGCTGAATTCCTCCCATTCCTCGGCTGGTGGCCTTTCCTCTGTCCGCAGCTGATAGCATCTTCAATGCTTCTCGGCTTCCCGGGTGCATCCCCTTCTCCACTTCTGTAGCCTCGTCTCCCTCCGCCTCCGTCTCATAGGGACCCTCGTGGTTACGCCTGGGTACTCCAGGATCACTGAGCCCACTCAGGGTCCTTAAACGCATCACACCCACATGCAAGCTAATATCTCCAGGGAGCTCTGGCCAGTCAGCCTCCACTACAGGTACCAGTCGGCTGAATATTCGCAAAGCAGACCTTGTGATGTTGTTTCCGTCTTCCAAGAGACCATCTTCCAAGAAATCTTGACTCTCACAGGGAGCCATTCCCTTTTCACAGGCTGATGTCGGAGGGACTCATTCCAGGGAGGACGGCAGGCCCCAGAAGGAAGCTGTGGTACCCGAGGACACTGGGAGCAGCCCCGACAGCCTGGAAAAACAGACTCCATTGGGAAGCTTACCTGGAACCATACCAGAAACCTCCCCAGCTCTTAGTGAAAAAAACAGAAGAATAAATTCAGGTAATGGCCCTCGTTTATATGAATCTCCACAAAATACTGTCTCTCTAAATATGTTGTATAACATATGTTAGCAACCCTTTTATCAGTTTTGTGGACTAGGCAGTGTTCCAGATGGCAAAGACCCCATCTCTGAGACACGAGGATGGAGCCTCAGGCCTTCATTCTGTGAATAAATAATGCTAACCATTAATTTTCTTGTAGATGAAGTGACTAAAACCATCTTGATTTTTTCCTTTTTTTTTTTTTTTTTTTTTTCAAGCAAGGAGCCCTTGCTCGTGGTGGGAAACAGACCTTAGGCTTTGGTTACATTCCTGTAGACTTCTGCCATGTTCCCACCTTTCCAAGAGAAAGTTCTCATTTGCAAAAATATATGCAGCCTCCATCAAACTGTTCCCCTGGTGTCTCCCATCCAAAGGATCAGCAAATATACAAAACAGTCATCTTTCAAAAACACAGAAGAAGTCATTATGACCTGGTGTGCTCCTTAGAAACTATTTTGACTTTTCCCGTGGTTGGTCTTGCTTTCCTTGAGTTACCTACACCCCCCCCCCCCGCCCCCACCAACTCCCAGGGTTGATTTAAGAATGCCTAGTTAGACTTTATCAGCCTCTGAAACAAATTGAACTCAATAGAACTCAAGGAAAAGTGCTCTGTTTTATTGGAGGGGAAGGCTTTCGTGTCATTCCTGACTGCTGTCCTTTTTTCCCAAAGCACTTGCTAGAGCTGGAAGATAGATGGGTTAGTAAATGAGATTCTTCTCCTTGGACTTTGGGGCACACTCTCTTTATAATAGATTTCATATTAACCTTCACCTTGTGGGTCTGATGTGAGGTAGGAGACGGGGGATACAGCTGGGAGGCCTCCCCTCTCTCTCTGTGTGTCTGGCCAGCACGTACATTTTTTTTCTCGATGATAATTCCGTTGATGGGAATCCCTCCTAGACTGCGACACGGATGTTCAATGTCTATGGTGCTACAGACGGCAGACCGTCAGGGGCACGGGGACACATGGGTACCCTCAGTCAGTCTGTCCAGCAGGGTAATGCTGACAGACACACCAGCCTGGGGAGGGAGTGAATTATTAAAGCAGGTGTTCCAAGATGTGGTGTAAATTAGTTTCCAGGAAAGCCATTCCCTCTGAATGAGTAAGAACCAGTGCCCTATGCTTTATATCTGTTCTCTGCCCAGTTTCTCCTCTGTCTCTTTTCTGGATCCCTGATCTGCCCATCTTTAGAGTATATTTGTTAAAAATTTCAAGCTTCACACTAACATTTCCTGTCTTTCCTTAAAAAAAAAAAAAAAAACTTCCTTTAGTTGGGGGAAGTCAGAGGGGGAGACAAACCATGAGAGACTGCGGACTCTGAGAAACAAATTGAGGGTTTTGGAGAGGAGAGGGGTGGGGGATTGGGTAAGCCTGGTGGTGGGTATTAAGGAGGGCACATATTGCATGGAGCAATGGGTGTGGTGCATAAACAACGAATTCTGGAACACTGAAAAGAAATAAAATAAAATGAAAAAAAACTTATTATTTTGAATAATTTCAGATTTGAGTAAAGTTGCATAAAACAAAGGATGCCTGTATTCTTTCCCCTAGATTCCCCAAATGCTAACATTATATCACATTTGAATGTGATATAATTACAGGAATCACAGTCCCTCTCTCTCCCCCCCTTCACGCTCACTCTCTCTTTCTCCCTCTCTCTCTCTCTCTCTCTCACACACACACACACGCACACACACACACACACACACACAGGTTTTTTCTGAGAGCAAATCGCAGACATAATGACACTTTATTCTGAAGTACACCAGTATATGTTTCCTAAAACAAGGGTATTCTCTGCATAATCACAGGACAAGGATCACAATCAGCAAATTACCCCTTATGCAGTACATATCTCATTTGCATATTCAAATTTTATCCATTGTCTCACAAATGTCCTTTATAAATAAATTTCAGGTTCAAGATCTAATCCAGGATCACATGGTTAATGTCGACATCATGCGGTGTTTTTCTCCATTAATTTGGAGCCAGTCCCTCAGCTTTTCTTTGTCTTTTATCAGATTGATGTGTTTGGAGACATAAGCCATTACTTTACAGAAACTTCCTCAGTTTGTGTCTGGCTGATATTTCCTAATGATTAGCTTTGGGTTATCCATTTTTAGCAAAAATACCAAAAATGATATTATACCCTGCTTAGTACATCAAATCAAGGGTCATGCAATACCTGTATTTGACCTTTATTGCTTTTTCTTTGCCTTACAAACGTTTTTTAATGTAAAATTTATCAATTTTCTTCTCTGAATCTGGAATTTGAGTCATAGTTAGAAAGTCTTTCCCTACGCCAGAGTTAAACACGAATTCACCTACATTTTCTTGTACAACTTTACTTTTGACACTTACAAAGAATTTCTAGCCTTGTGAGAAAACACTAATCTGTACCTTAACTGCATAGGAAACAGACCCGTATGTTCAGTATGATGTCAAATTTGTAAAAGTAAAATTTGACATATCAATAAGGGTAATCTCTGAATGGTAAGAGGATGGGCATTTTTCTTTTCTTTTTTCTTCTTTTCTATACTTTCCAAGTTTACTCTGATAACCATGTGTGACTTTCATAACCAGAAAGAGGGGTCATGTCACTTTCCAACATCCCCCCGATTGTCTTCAGCATCCCAAGAAATCACGAGGATTAGTTGCAAGACCTCCATAGTGCAGGGGTTTCTTTGTAGGCTGATCACTGTCAATGCCAAGCCAGTATTTTGGACCCAGAAAAATAATTGATTGAGGCAGTTCATTATTTTTATTTCATAATCATTTTAATAATTGAATAATTGTATCATGTTAGTGACAGTCATCAACTATGATGTTCTCTTTAGACACATCCTGAGACGGAAATGGACCACACAGTGGTCCTTGGGGAAGGAGGGCACCGAGGTGGCAGAGAACTTGGGGATTGAAGTCAGACATTCTTGGATTCAGACCCTAGTTGGTTCTCTTCCTAGCCATGTCTCCTTCAGCAAGTAAATTCGCCGCTCTCATAGAGTTTATACAATAGGGATGATAATACCTCTCTCACAGAATTCACAACATTACAAGGGACATCTGGGTGGTTCAGTCCATTAAGCATCTGCCTTTGGCTCAGGTCATGATCCCAGGGTCCTGGGATCAAGTGCTGAGTCAGACTCCCTGAGAGTCCCTGCTCAGTGGGGAGCCTGCTTCCCCCCTCTCCCTCTGCCCCTCCCCACCGCTCATCAGCTCACTATCTCTCTCTCTCTCTGACAAATAAATAAATAAAATCTTTTTTAAAAATTCCCAATGTTACAAAGTATATAAAGGACATAAGATGGTACCAGGTACCTAAGTGCTCAGTAAATAGTGACTACTCTATTGACCCTTCCAGATAAGATCACCTTCCAAAAGAAAAAAAAAAAAATCCCCTTAATTCTTTGAAGAGGTTTTACCTCTAACTTTTTGTTAAATTTTTCTCTATCATTTCAAGCTTTAGTTTATTGGTTTACCTACTTGAAAGACATGCTTTACCGCTCTGTACCGAAAGCTGTATACAGCTCTTTAAAGTGAAAATTGAGTCTATTTCAAACACACGGAAGGTTAGAAGGCACAGCACTGGACGAGAAATGAGATTATCGACAATTCGTTGAAGTTACTTGCAGCGGTCTTATAACAACAAGGTGAATATTCTGACGGGAGAAACATCTCACTGGCTGGTGTGTGTGCCTGTGCGTTTTTTCACCTCTTCCCACTGCAAATCCATGAAAACTGTCTTTGTTAACCAGTGAGGGTAGAAATTTTCATAAAAAGACTCTGTCCACTAGATGGAATGATTCATGTTACCATCAGGACTTCCCGATGATTGCAAAACAGAAGAGAGCCCATTCCTGAGGACTCCTCCCCGCACCTTTGTTTAATAATGGGAATCCATAAGGACAGATGTTTGCTTGCGTATTTGTAGAAATGGGTGATTTCGAATGGGGGGGTCTCTCTCATCAGTGCGGTTTATAAAGGCTCCCCGAGAAACTGTTTCGGTGCCATTTTCGGAATCGATCGTAAATATGTAGCTGATACCGCTTGACTTCAATTGTGATTTAGTTCAAAGACTCTTTTCAAAAAGGCATACTCTTACTTACATAGCTTTAGCAGATGGCGTCACTGGAAACTCAAGGTTGCAGAACTAGAAGTCTCTTGGCAACATCCCACTGTTTATCCTTTGTATACAAAGCATAGAAACCAAACTGCAACTCAGAGGAGTCACTGAAAGGATATCTCCTTCCTAACTGTGCTTCATAATTAGCATAAAGAACCCATGTAGTCATATTCAAGTGTATAAGTGTTGTTACAACAAAAAAGTAGTACATAGCAGCACATGAAAGACTTTTTGTTATGTTAATACAGGGCTTGCTAAGTAAACTGTATATTCTGCTGATGTGTATCCTCTGTAAGGACATTCAGAATTTGAACTTCAAACGATTCAAAGATTTATGTAATTGACACAGATACGTAGGTTAGAGTGTTGAGACTAAGATTTAGTTAAGTAATGTCATTTGTAAGGCATCCACTTAGCATCTGATTGATAAAATGTTCATGTTTACATTTCTATTCCTTCTTTCTTTCCCTATAGATCTAGTGATGGATGGATTAATCCGTAAACCCCAACCCCTAAAGACCCAAGAGCGACAGAAGTCATCGGATATTCTGGAGGAATTAATTGTCCAAGGAATAATACAGAGCCACAGCAAAGTATTTAAAAATGGAGAATCCTATGATGTCATGGCAAGTAATTCTATAATTAACATTAGCTTATAGTTAAAAATAGCTATAGAATAGGATCGATCACGAATTACAGTCTCCAAACTCTTCAAGGCACCACGCAGATTGTAGCATTTAGCTAAGCCAGATTTTTCTCCCATAACTTATCTCTCCTGTCTACACATCACCCTTCTCTCAGGAAGCGCCTTAATCATTTTTTTAAGCTCATATATTTATTATCAGGTCCAATGATATTATCTACGTCCAATGTGAGGCTTGAAACACGACCCCAAGACCAAGAGCTTCATGGTCCACTGACTGAGCTGTCATGGTACCCCAAGAATGCCCTAATCATCAATGATTAATGAAGCCAGTAAAACATCTTGGATTTTACTGAATTTGAGAGACAGTTATCCCTGTTGAATAACCTGCCTTCATTCTTTGAATAATTTTTGTTAAGCCTTAGCTATGTACTAGGTATTATGACTATAAACTGGAATCCAATTTCTATAGTAGGAAAATACACCTAAATGCCAAAGCTAGAATACATAGGCTTCCATACACACTAAGGTCCAACATGAGGAAATAAATACAATGATAAAAATCTTCATACATTTATTTTTTTTTTCTTTACTGATTCATCTTGACCAACTGATCATCGTTTTTCCTTAGTGTGGGCAGTATTTTTACTTAGATTTTAACTGGTTGTGAGCCAAGTCTTGAGTCCTTCATTTTTTAATAAGTTCTAGCTAAGCCCCTGAAGAGGATGGCAGGTGGTGTTGTTGTGGTTTTCGTCTGTTTTCTTGTTCTTTTGTTAACCAAAGCTCCCAGGCAGCCCCCCATTGTCCTCGAAAAGATGAAAAGAAGAATTGAGAGAGAAAAGAAGCCTAAGGAGAAATGAGTAAAAAAGAAAAGAAAGACACAAAAATGATGGAAATAGGGACCAGAAGGAACATTTTTTTTAAAGATTTTATTTATTTATTTGACAGAGAGGGAACACAAGCAGGGGAGTGGGAGAGGGAGAAGCAGGCTTCCTGCTGAGCAGGGAGCCTGATCCCAGGACCCCCAGATCATGACCCAAGTGGAAGGCAGACACTTAAGGACCGAGTCACCCAGGTGCCCCATCAGAAGGAACATTAAAGGCTCTGGATGGCTGCCCATCTTGGTCTTGTAGGGAAAACAACCAACTGGGAATAAAAAAGATGCATTATTTAAATTAAGTGTGCCACCCTGACCGAGTCACTTAAGTGTTTGAATAAAGGTAATTTCCTTCTCTGCGTGTAGGAAATGCTGAGAACTCATGAATAAAAGCCAAAGTGGCATTCTCTTTTGAAGAAGGAAAATACGAAGGTATTTGGGGAAAAGAGAGGAGATTGCTAAACCTCATGAATGATATTATCAGGTTGCCAGGAGTAGGAGGGTGTAGGGGGCAGGGGAAGGTAAAAATAGATTATATAATGGAAAAGATAATGTCAGTGTAATGACAGTTTACATCTGGGCGACGCTATTGTGATACGAGGCACTTTAGGATACTGTATCTGATATGAAAGTACTAGAAGATGGGTCTTTAACATGGAAAAGCAGGGGGGAGAGATTCTTTTCTAGCTGTAAGTGAGTCTCTGGAGGTCAGAAAAAAAGAAGGTGTGTCAAAAGGAGAAAGACAGGAGAGCGATCTGGAGAAGGATGGATTGTGGAAACTTTGAGTAGCGAAGCGATGCCTTCTTTAGGGAAATGCTGTAGAACCCTGATGCTAACAGCAGTGGGAACAGCATTAAAATGTTGGTCAGAGATGAATGAGTTCAAACTGAGACCTTACAAGGGCACCAGCAGGGTTAAGTAATATCAACTAAATCATGAAAGAAAGGTATCTATTGAAGAATGAAAACTATGGGCTTGACCTTCAATAGCATCATTAGGTGAGCCCCAGATGAAGACTGCGTTTATATTATAGAGAAATTGAATGATTATCAGGAACCTAGCTGGACTGTTCTCAAAAAAGATCTGAAGTTGACGGGACCACAGAGGTAGGCAAGAATAACACATTTCGTTTCTTTTGTTTTTTGCTTTGTACGATGTCCCGGTATAATCCAGACTTGCAACAACACAGCTGTGTGTTTTATCGCCTAGGGCTGTGGTCCTAAACTTGGCTGCACATTCGAGTCTCCTAGAAAGCTTTCAAAAAATCCCAGTGCCCAGGTCCCTCCTGGGACTAGTGGCTGGGGGGGAGCCCTGGCTGTAGTGTCCCTAGGTGATTCTGGTGGGCAGCCCAGGCAAAGAACCACTGCCCTGGGGTTTCTACCAATGTGGACACAAAGCCTTCAAATTCATCATAAAGCTGGAGAGGGTTAAAGCTTTTGAAATTGAATTCCCCCATTCATTATGAAAAAGAATTCTAAAGTATTCCTGAAAATATGTTGTAATATTATGTATACATTAATAGTATAAAAATACAATAAATATATATTAATATTATAATTATTCAATATTGTATTAAAATAATAAATTACATTGTTATATAAATATATTATTATAACTATAATATATAAAGGTATTTATATATTATATTATAACTGATTATTATTATATGTTATATGTAATTATATGATTATTATTATAATGCCATAACACATTTTCAGGTAGAGAACTAAGGGTATACCCAGGAACATATGGAAATGAAGGAGAGATACAATTTGTCAGTATCTCAGGTAAAGTCTCTCAATTCAGGCGTAGCTGAGAACATATCAGACACCAGGAGTCTTAATATTTTAGGAAAAGTTAGGAGCCAATGTAAAAAGATGAGTGAATACTGAAAGGGGGAACATACTAAGAACGGAAATATTGTTAGTTCATATTTTTAACTATCCAATATCTAATAATAGTTAATTGGATCATATTTTTATTTATACTATCATACTTAATTAGATAGTTAATTGAATCATACTTTTAACTCTCCAATATTTAATAATATTTGTTGAGGGGAAAAAAAAAGAACAGATGATAAAATTAGCTAAAAAAACAAACAAACCAAAAGGGATGTTAATATCAGCAGTTACTAGGATGTGATGAAGCCAACGAGAAATTTTAATACAATTTCTTCATCGATCCCAAAGATATCATTTAAATCAAATATTAGGGGGGAATGGAATAATAAACATGAGAATACTGGGGCACCAGGGTGGCTCAGTGGGTTAAGCCTCTGCCTTCGGCTCAGGTCATGATCTCAGAGTGCTGGGATCAAGCCCCGCAGCAGGGAGCCTGCTGTCCCCCTCTCTCTCTGCCTGCCTCTCTGCCTACTTGTGATTTCTGTCAAATAAATAAAAATAAAATCTTAAAAATAAAGAAAGAAAGAAAGAAATGTGAGAATACTTTAAAAACAAGACTTCTTATGTAGACCAAGTGTATAAATATAAGGGAATGTTAGATCTGACCCCTTCTGCAATTCGGTTCTCATGTAGAGGGAAATATAAGAAAAGGTTGTGTAAAGTGAGGGTCCTCCACTCATCTGCTGAATTGGGGACCCCCCCTCCATGGGCCAGTCTCTCTCTAGAGGTCCACAGCAGTATCTGTCCCCCAGAGGGCCCCATTCATCTTTTTTTTTTCTTAATTTTTCTCATTTTCTTGTTGGCAAATACTACAGCAGTTTCATAGTGACCCCCTCTCCCAGATAACATGCTTTCCAGCAGATTCATACAAATAGAATTTACCCTCACTCAGAAGGAATTACAATGATATGTAAGGTAAATACCAGACTAAGTGAATCTTTCAGTATACTTTAAAACATTCTAAAGAGCCTTAAGTGGCTTATTATAAATATGTACGGACTTTATATACACATGAAACTATGTGTCTGGTTGGTATGGATCTCTACAAGAGTTGTAATGGGCTCTCATTTATCCACCTCGGCATTATCCACTTGAGATGTTTTTTTTCCCAAACTCCTTTCCCCCCATCCCTTAGGCCACCCACGGTCTCCAAACACAAGATGATTTCTCCATTGACTCCTTCTTCTGTGGCCAAAGTTGACTCCCTCCTCCGGGCCACTTCTGCCCTTGGTATCCTTCAGTAGAGTGAGGGAGTTGGTTATCTTGCCTCAGAGTCTCTAATGTTATTTGTTGAACCTCACGGGGAGTTTTTTTAAGGAGGAGGATGCGGACTGATAAGATAAATGTCAGCCAACGCTGTGGCCTGGCTGGGTGGTCTCACAGGGAGGGAGCAGGACTGCGGGAAGCTCCGACCCGTTCTGTGCACACAACTCTGGTGACAGAACTTAGCCAGGGTAGTTCATCTGTGGGTCAACAGTTACTTTGGGAGGCTCTGAGGAATGCACAGTGGCTGCAGGAAGAATTATATATATACAAGCAAGGAGGGCTGAAAAGATCCAAACCTTATCACACCGTCTTTGGGTGGGGCAGTCCTCTGCTGGTGTTCTTCTTTTTTTTTTTTTTTTTTTTTAAGATTTTAGTTATTTATTTGACAGACAGAGATCACAACTAGGCAAAGAGGCAGGCAGAGAGAGAGGAAGGGAAGCAGGCTCCCTGCTGAGCAGAGAGCCAGATGCGGGGCTCGATCCCAGGACCCTGGAATCATGACCTAAGCTGAAGGCAGAGGCTTAACCCACTGAGCCACCCAGGCTCCCCCTCTGCTGGTATTCTGAAAGAAAATCATTGACCTAGCAACTTCTATGGGTTTTAAAGTTGATTTTTTTTTTTTTTTTTAGTTTCTATGACTCACTCCTCTCCGAGTGTATCACTGTTATTTTCAAGTGCCGAGAGTTGGTAAATCCTGGTTTCAGGAAATCCAGTGGGAAAGAATACAGATACTTTCCCTTTCAAGTAGTCTTTCAAGGCTTTTATTTCAATCGTCAGACTCAGGAAAGGATGAGGGCTGCACAGGGAGGTTCACTTCCGGAAGCAGGAGGAAGTATTTGATTTTGTACGTATGGTCCGGGATAAAGCCACAGGAAGAGTCCACCCAGACCAGAAATCCCAAGTATCTCAGAACTACTGTCTACGACTTTAGTCAAGATGCCGACTCCCGTGGGAAGCCTCAGAGAGTCTTCCTTCACTGAATCTGGGATTACTATTGCATGTTCTTTTAGCCCTCTGTGAGTGAACTTCCCAAAAAAACTGTTTTCATACTAATTTCACAGTATCTTTAGCTGAACCACTACAGCAAGAACGTCCCTCTTCACGGAAAATGGCTTTTGCCAGCAGGGAGCCTGAGAGCCAATTGTCATAAAAATAATACAGTGATGGGGGAGGGGGAGCTTGCTTTGACAGACATCCCACGGTTTTCATGTAGTGAAAAACTTCTCACCACATAAAACTGTCTGATGGCTGTAACTGTGCCAAAACTTCAACAAATGTTTCCTTCTAAAAGGCTTTCCGAGAATCATGGTTCTTAAAGCTGGAAGGAACCCTAGTGGTCCTCAGCATCCTCACTATTTTTACGTGAGAGAAAACAAGAGTCCAAAGAGGTGACTTGTCTCGGGTGATACCATGGGTATTAGTGGTCTACAGGTTAAAGCCCAGGCCTCCAGCTGGCCTCCGGGATTCAGGTTCCCATTCCCATCCTTCAAGACAAATACTGTAACTTGGTGATGATTCTGTGGGCTGTCACTGAAAAAAGTCACCACTTGAAGACAAGAACAGACATCTCTCCAAAGACATCCAGATGGCCAACAGACACATGAAGAGATGGTCAACATCACTCATCATCAGGGAAATACAAATCAAAACCACAATGAGGTATCATCTCAGACCTGTCAGAATGGCTAAAATCAAAAACACAAGAAACCACAGGTGTTGGCGAGGATGTGGATGAAAAGGAACCTTCGGGTACTGTTGGCGAGATTGCAAACCAGTACAGCCAATGTGGAAAATAGTATGGAGGTTTTTCAAAAAGTTAAAAATAGAACCTCCCTAGGATCCAGTAATCGTACTACTGGGTATTTACTCAAAAAAATACAAAAACACTAATTCAGAGGGATACATGCTTCCCAATGTTTATAGCAGCATTATTTACAGTAGCCAAACTATGGAAATGGCCCAAGTGCCCATTGACTGATGAATGGATAAAGAAGACATGGTGTAGGGGCGCCTGGGTGGCTCAGTGGGTTGGGCCGCTGCCTTCGGCTCAGGTCGTGATCTCAGGGTCCTGGGATCGAGTGCCGCATCGGGTTCTCTGCTCAGCAGGGAACCTGCTTCCCTCTCTCTCTCTCTCTCTCTCTCTCTCTGCCTGCCTCTCCGTCTACTTGTGATCTCTCTCTGTCAAATAAATAAATAAATAAAATCTTCAAAAAAAAAAAAAAAAGACGTGGTGTAAATACACAATGAAATATTCCTCAGCCATCAAAAAGAATGAAATCTTGCCATTGGCGACGGCATGGATGGAGCTAGAGAGTATAGTACTAAGCGAAATAAGTCTGAGAAAGACAGATACCATATGATTTCACTCATATGTGGAACGTAAGAAACAAAACAAATGGGCAAAGGAAAAAAAAAAAGGAGAGAGAAATAATCCAAGAGACACTCTGAACTATAGAGAATAGACTGATAGTTATTAGAGGGGAAGTGGGTAGGGGTGGGGGATGGGGAAATAGGGGAAGGGGATTAAGGAGGGATTAAGTCGTGAGGAGCACTGGGTGTTGTATGGAAGTGTTGAATCACTCTATTGTACATCTGAAACTAATATTACACTGTATTTTAACTGTACTGGAATTAACATTTTAAAAAACTTCATTTAAAAAGTCACTCCTTTCACTGAATGAAATGTAATTACCGTTTCCTGAGTGATTACTGATACCTCCTTAAAAAAGAAAATCCTGTGAAGTAAGTATTATTAAACCCATTTTTAAAGAGATGAAAGCAAGGTTTATAGAGCTGAAGAACTCAGGCAAAAACACACCATGGCCAAGCCAGGTCTTAAACCTAGGTCTGTCTGAGTCTTGGTTTGGTATCTTTTTCTATTGTGCTAGACCTCTTCTCTGTTGGACGTATTTTCAGCATGGGCAGTCTTATAGTATAAAGAGACAGTCTATTAGATATTACAATGAATATCACTAGTTCCCTTTCTTTAAAAGTCTTTAGAGACGGGGCACCTGGGTGGCTCAGTTGGTTAAGCGTCTGCCTTCGGCTCAGGTCATGATCTCAGGGTCCTGGGATCAAGCCCCATATCAGTTTCTCTGCTCAGCAAAGAGCCTGCTTCCCCCCCACCCCCTCTCTGCCTGCTGCTCTGCCTACTTGTGATCTCTCTTTCTTGGTCAAATAAATTTTTAAAATCTTTAAAAATAAAAAATAAAAAAAATAGAAGTCTTTAGAGAAATTACCTAGGACAAATCAGTTTATTTATAATGAAACCCCAGAGTTCACTGGGACCTTCCCCAGTTGTCATAAATCTGTATATTCTGACCTAGAAGGATGTCCATCGTAAATTAAGAGAAGAAGGCAAATTGCAGAGCCTGGTGAGAGTATAATCTTATTTACGTTTGGTTTAACATTACAGATGTACTACACATACATATGTATATAAATATATGCACATAGAGAATTCTGGCAGGACACATACCAAACTCTTTAAAATAGTTCATGCTGACGAATACAACTGGGGACCAGGTGGTTTAAACAGAAGCCTGGGAAACTATTTCTGTATTGCTTTACTTTTTCATGACCAATGTATGTTATAAAAAATTATTTTTAGGGGCACCTGGGTGGCTCAGTCAGTTAAGCTTCTGCTTTCAGCTCAGGTCATGATCTCAGGGTCCTGGGACTCAGCCCTGCATGGGTGTCTACACAGCGGGGAGTCTGTCTCTCCCTCTCTCTCTGCCCCTACCCCTGCTGTGCTCTCTCTCACTCCCTCAAATAAATAAATACAATAATTTTAAAAATTAATTTTTGGGGCGCCTGGGTGGCTCAGTGGGTTAAAGCCTCTGCCTTCGGCTCAGGTCATGGTCCCAGGGTCCTGGGATTGAGCCCTGCATCGGGCTCTCTGCTTGGCTGGGAGCCTGCTTCCCTTTCTCTCTCTCTGCCTCGCTCTCTGCCTGTCTCTCTACCTACTTGTGATCTCTGTCTGTCAAATAAATAAATAAAATTTTTTTAAAAAAATAATTTTTAAAAAGAGAAAAGATGTATGTTAAAACTTTCTTTAAAAACCCTTTACAGGGGGGGCACCTGGGTGGCTCAGTAGGTTAAGCCTCTGCCTTCGGCCAGGGTTATGATCTCAGGGTCCTGGGATCGAGCCCCACATCGGGCTCTCTGCTCAGCGGGAAGCCCGCTTCCCCCTCTCTCTCTGCCTGCCTCTCTGCCTGCCTCTCTGCCTACTTGTGATCTCTCTCTCTGTCAAATAAATATTTAAAAAAAAAAAAAAAACCCTTTACAGGGGCACCTGGGTGGCTCAGTGGGTTGGGCCTCTATGCCTTCGGCTCAGGTCGTGGTCCCAGGGTCCTGGGATCGAGCCCCGAGTTGGGCTCTTTGCTCAGTGGGGAGCCTGCTTCTCCCTCTCTCTGCCTACTTGTGATCTCTGTCTGTCAAATAAATAAATAAAATCTTTAAAAAAAAAAAAAAAACCCTTTACAATCTTACTTTTTTATAAGTAGAAATTAATCAGAAAGTCATTATCCCATCACTTTAAACTCCAGAAAGGGTAGTCAGTGACATGAACGAGTGAGGGATTTTTCCTAACGTCATGAAAACATTCTCGAAGTCTTCTGACAGCAAAGGCCAGCCCAGGGTCGCTGCTCAGTAATTGTTAATTCTCTCCTCTGTGAGACCCAGAGTACTAAAACCCTATCTCGATCCGAAATGAAAGGCGTTTGTAACCCACGGCATTTACAAAATTATCAGATTTAACTTTTTATTTTTACCTTGAACTACACATTCATCACTCGTCTGCCTCCTTTCTCTGCCTTAGGTTTCTTCTCCAGAATCTTTTCTTCTCCTGAATCCTCTTCCAGCTCCCGAACGTCCTTGCATTCTTTGATGGGTTTCAGGAAGAGCCTGTTTTTGTCATTGGTTTTTTTTTTTTCCTAGACATCTAATAGACCTTTTTTTTAAATTATTATTTTATAGGACTTAGTTCTGTTGTTCCCAGCATTCACATGGTGGTCTTTAACTCTGCCAACATACCTGTTTAGATTTTTAGGACTAACCTTTTACACCATGTGCATGCCACCTCTCCTGGATCTCCCCTCCGCCCCCTGAGTAATGTCTGTTTCTCCCTTTTGAAAACTGTCTTCCTCCAGGTGAACACGACACCGCTGAGAAAGCCTCCAGCCAGGCTGAAGAAGCTTAAGATCAAACAGGAAGCAAAGGCTTTCACAATGAATGAGCTGGAGGAGAAGATGCGGGCAGTGGAGAGGCGCAGGAAGGTCCCCCAGCTCACCCCTGAGCAGGGCTGCCTGCTAACAGTGCACCCACATAGGCGTTTCCTAACCACTGATTTAGGGTTCAGATCAAGTACTGGAGTGATCTGTAGGCTTTCTGGGCTGTCTGTGTCATTTTCCTTTAATTCTCTTTGTGGGGTGCAGGAGTAAAGCATCCTGAAGCTGGCTGAATGCTGGCTCCATCCAGGTAGCCTCAGGAAACACTGTTCACTTCTGAGTATGGGGTCTGCTTCATAGGGAAAAAGAAAACCTCAGCTGGAGTGGGGGTGGGAGGAGGCGTCAGGGGCAGGGGAAGAGGGCAGATGAGGGGAGGCCTTGCAGAGGACACCGGGTCTCCATCACCCTGTGTCCCCCATCCTGCTGGAAGCAGCTTTCACAGCTGTGGGCTGCCCACCTCTGCCTCCATCTCCCTACCTGGCCGACCTCTCCTTCCCCTACCTGGGAGAACAAAGGCCACCCAGAAGCTCCAGGAGGGGAGGGACTGTGTCTGTCCTCAGCAGTGCCTCAGCCTGTGTTTGTGGAGTGACTGAATGATGGCACAGCCCAGCCATGCAGGTTCATGTCAGGAATAGGCACAAGGAAGTTATCTGGGCTCATTTTGCTTCTTTAATACTGCTTTTCAGACTAAAGAAGAAGACATAAGAAAAAGGCTAAGGAGCGACCGACTTCTGTCCCCGGCCAGTCACCCGGGTGCCGCGGAACCGGGTGGGGCTGAGGTTCCCTTTGCCAAAGGACCCCACGAGGCGACTTCTGCCCCCTTGGAGCCAGCACACCTTCAGGGAGCAAAGCCCTTGAAGAGGAAGAACAGCGATGCAGCCTCCTGTGGAAGGAGCTTCAGTTGTGAAAGCCTCGGGGTGGTGGAGTCAGACCGGTCCTACAACCAAGCAGAAGATGCCTTTGAATGAAGCCATCTTCCGTGAAGTGCGTGAAAAGGTGAAATTCCCCCCAGCTGGGGCCATCCTCGTCGGTCGCTGTTGTGCTTTCTGGCGGCCTGACCTCACCCCGCTGGGATGTGCCGTGGGCGGAGGGATGGTTGTGTAACCTGCAGTGGCTGAGCCAAGCGGAGGAAATGAAATGCCGACGCTAACAAAAGGGAAAAAACCGAGATGATCTGACTAGCTTCCATATGATGCAGTTGGCATCCTCCTCCAGTGTGGCTTCGAACATCGTGAAGATGTCTTGATGAATACTTTCCAGCCTACATCACCCTGCCTGTGCCAGATGAAACCCTTCTCTTTGGCTCCGGGTCCTTGGCTATGCCCATCCTCTGAGGGTCCCTTCAGACCAAATGCGAGGATGTGTATTCTGTATTTTCATGATCTGTAGGCTTCTTATCTGTAGAGTTTAGTTATTTTGTTTTAACTCTCTTTGTGTGGTGAGGGATTAAAGCCGTATCTTGAAGCTGGTTGAATAATAGTTTCATGCGTATTAGCTTAAGCTAGCAATATCCAATTCTTGAGAATTAAGTATGAAAAAAGAAAAAACTTCTCTTGGGTGTAGGGGCTGGGAGGATGTCCAGGTGGCAGGGGTGGGGGGGTGGGGGGAGGGGCTCTGGGAGGACACCCTCATGTCAGTGCCTTACTTCCCTGTGGGCTCTCTGAACTGAGTTTGCTGGCCCTTATCTTACTGGAATTAGGCTCGGTTCTTCCCTCCGCTTTACCATCCACATCCAATCACTGACCAGGTCAGATGCGTCTCCATTCTGAAGATCTCCCCTCCCTTGTCACCACTCAACTACCATTTAACTGAATCACAACTTTTGTTGCTCTTCCAACCACAGTCCTCTGGTTAAAGCCCTCTCTTGGCCTGCGTTCACTGTCATGATAGAGTCCAGACTCTTTTCTGCAGATGGTAAGGATCTCCGCTCTCCCACGCACCTGCACTGAACTTTCAGTTCCTAAACTCAGCACACCCTGCCTAGCCTCAGGGTCTCTGCACGTGTAGATCCCCCCTTTCCCTCTCTCCCTCCTGCTACTTGAGCTGATTGATGCCTTCTTGTTGTTCATGTCTCCACTCAGACTGCTTCCTCCAAAGCTCCTGGTCTGGGTTGGTGCCCTTCCCCCATAGTTGCCTCTTGGCACACTGGGCAACTTGTCTGTGCACTTGCCACCCTGGGTTGCAACTGTTCGAGTCAATGTATCCGTACATCTTCCAGAAGCAGGATAGATCCAGAAGAGGGGAACCGCTGGCTGGAGGCAGTGCCAATGACCAGAGGACCACATGTCACCTCCTGCTTATGCTCTCCCTTTGAGATATTATGTTCCTATAGTCTACAGGACTGAGAACTCTTGCAGCTCATGAGGATGATGGGGGGTGGGGTTTCTTTCAAAACTCATTCCAGAACAAAACCCATCAGAACCTTTAAGAGCGTCCTTCAACATTTGCAAACGACATATCAGATAAAGGGCTAGTGTCCAAAATCTATAAAGAACTTAGCAAACTCAACACCCAAAGAATAAATAATCCAATCAAGAAATGGGCAGAAGACATGAACAGACATTTCTGCAAAGAAGACATCCGGATGGCCAACAGACACATGAAAAAGTGCTCCACATCACTCGGCATCAGGGAAATACAAATCAAAACCACAATGAGATATCACCTCACACCAGTCAGAATGGCTAAAATTAACAAGTCAGGAAATGACAGATGCTGGCGAGGATGCGGAGAAAGAGGAACCCTCCTACACTGTTGGTGGGAATGCCAGCTGGTGCAACCACTCTGGAAAACAGCATGGAGGTTCCTCAAAAAGTTGAAAATAGAGCTACCCTATGACCCAGCAATTGCACTACTGGGTATTTACCCTAAAGATACAAACGTAGTGATCCGAAGGGGCACGTGCACCCGAATGTTTATAGCAGCAATGTCTATAATAGCCAAACTATGGAAAGAACCTAGATGTCCATCTACAGATGAATGGATAAAGAAGATGTGGTATATATACACAATGGAATACGATGCAGCCATCAAAAGAAATGAAATCTTGCCATTTGCCACGACGTGGATGGAACTAGAGGGTATCATGCTTAGCGAAATAAGTCAGTCGGAGAAAGACAACTATCATATGATCTCCCTGATATGAGGAAGTGGAGAGGCAGCATGGGGGGTTAAGGGGGTAGGAGAAAAATAAATGAAACAATATGGGATTGGGAAGGAGACAAACCATAAGTGACTCTTAATCTCACAAAACAAACTGAGGGTTGCTGGGGGGAGGGGGGTTGGGAGAGAGGGGTGGGGTTATGGACATTGGGGAGGGTATGTGCTATGGTGAGTGCTGTGAAGTATGTAAACCTGGCGATTCACAGACCTGTACCCCTAGGGATAAAAATATATGTTTATTAAAAATTATATTAAATTATATAAAAATTATAACAATTATATAAAAATATATAAAAATTATATAAAATTACAAATTATAATATGTTTATAAAAAATTAAAAATTAAAAAAAAAGAGCATCCTTCATACAGTGTGACATGGGGAGCCCTGGTCCAGGACTCTCTGTGTTTCCATGACCTTATATGTTAATTCGGGATAACCACCTTTATGAAATCATACCAAATGAAATAATGAGTTTAAAAGTACTCCTTTTAATCCTCTGTGACCCAAAAAGAATTTTTAAAAAACACCAAACATACAGATAAGAAGCATATAGATCATTAAAATGGCATCTGGAATATGCCATAACGTTATAGAATATTATTTATATAAAATGCCTTGCCAGAAACATGATGTTTTCCAAATCCAGTGTCTTGAGATTTTCCTCTGGAGATTATCTTGTGGTGACATTGTGCTGATCTTAGAAAATATCAGAGTAGCTAAAATGACTACACTAGGCCACTTAGGAAAGGATTTGGGTATCATTCAGATGTCTGTAAATAATCAAATTTAAATGACCAAAGCATGCCTCAAATGCAAATGGCTAGTAACTATTGGGAATTAAATCCCCCAATTTGATAAATACTCCAGTGATATCTTCTCTTGAACTTTTATGCTCTTGCCTGTGCTAAATATTTATAGTGACTCAGGGGACATGTCTGCTGGGTTAAAACTAGGCAGAGTACATGCAGACATTATCGCTGAGACCCTGGCTTGGAAACCCCTCTACTTACAGAGATTCAAATATGCCCGAGTCACACTCCCCTGGGTATTTCCTTAGTGAGAAACACGTGAAAGGGTGGAAAGAGAGACAAAGTGGAAACAGACATCTTGACCCAGGAAACGGCTCTGAAGCTCTAAGGATATTACTATTCCCCAAAGCAAGGCTTTAGGGATGGCTCAGCGTCTCTAAGCTCCTCCCCCTTCGCAGAGCGCCGGCATCCACTGAGGTGCCCCCTGGCATTTGAACCCACGCCCGCTGCCCCAGAGCTTTCAACCCCTCCCTGCAATGCAGTTTTTAAACTTCAAATGTAAATGGGACTTTTTTCCATGATTTTTTTTTAAAGGATGATTTAGAACTGAAGAGTAATAGGAAAGAAAGAGATTTCTAAAATGCAGCAAGGGGACATGTTAACTTTACGTGTTGAAATAACATAATTGGCTTTCTCATTCTTAAAACATAAAGTGTTAGTAGGGTGTGGTACACAAACAATGCATCTTGGAACATGGAAAAAATAAAATTAAAATTTTTAAAAAATTACATTTTAAACAACCACTAGGGTATTTCGACCCAAATCCAGTCACAACCTTCAGGAAGTCATGAGTCAGGAAGACAAGATTAGGTAAATGTCCCTCAAATCATTTTAACAGGCAATGGAAAAATGGTCATATAGATTTCCTTGTGAGAGATGATCCAGTCCGGTCTAAAAGAAGGTTACTTTGATATTTAGTAAATCCTCCATTTTGGGGGGGGGAATACTTATGGATAACATATCAAATAATATTTAAAAGGTATATTTAAAGTAGTTCACATGTATGTGAAATATATGTGAAATATTCTATATGTGAAAGAGTCAGAATTGTAAAATTCTTATGTTAGATCGAAAGTAACTTTGCAATTACAGGAACAAAAATAGAATTTATCCTAGAGTGTTTCTATAGTGATTACCAGTAATTTATGACTGTGCCTATTTCCTTGTTTGTTATTCCTACCAGTAAACAGCTAGTATTTGAAGTAGTAATTATGTGCTAAATACTGCATTTTAAAGATGTGTAGTACTAAAAAGATCTGTGGATAGATCACTTTGCACTCACATAACCTGTAGACGCCCCACTTTCCTGTACAACATCTCATGTCAGGAAACCGACATTAATTATTTTAACATAAACTGTGGGAGAGGACAGTTACGTTCTCTGCGGATCACTTGTATTTGCTTTTTAAAAATAATACCTGCCTCTTTTTTTTTTTTTAAGTTATGTAAGTAAGATGGAATAGCAAACATTGAAAAACATAAGAAGCAAAAAACACCAGGAATCCAATGTGTTTCCCTCTAGCTCACTGCTGGGAACATTTTGCTGGCTGTATTTCAACACTGTTTCCCTGCAAAAATGGACTCATGCTATTTAAACCCTTTTTGCAGCTTGCTTTTTTCCCTGGACCACATGCCATTCTCTGCATATAAATCTACCTGAGCAGCATCCTTCTTAATGATGTAATACTGTTTCATTTTCTTATTACCTTTCTAAAGGGTCCCCTAGCCAAAGATGGTCAGAACGCAGGTTCCATTGCTGTTTTTAAAAGGCTGATAAGTCAAATGATTTGAACATCTTCCCGGTGAAACCAGGACTGACTGAACGAACACCTGGGAGGGCAGAAGCCGCCTTGCCGGCTTTCTCTGCACGCCCTTTCTGTTCCGCTGCCCTTCCATGCAGGATGGCCAGTGCAAATGAACTGAGGTCTGAAGCAGCCAGCTTTGTGGACCCACCTCTAGGCTCTGCTCCTGACTTCATGTCATCACAGTTCCCGT